AAGTATGCGAAAGACACTCATAAAACACATAGGGCCCCGCAAACCCGAGGCCACCTCTCCCTACCCATTGCCTTCAACAACTCCATGAAGGTGGGAGTTGTATGTTGAGTGTTCATTGAAAAGTCCCCCGCCTTTTTTGCACTTTTTAAACTATATATGATCGAAATTTGCCGAGCACCCGATAATAAATACTATCTTCGTCCCGCATTACTTGTTACAGAAATGGATGTTTCTAGACTCTACCGGAAAATATTCTTCCATTTTTAGTGCACAAAGAATTTCCCTTTTCCCTTTCATTTGTGTTTATTTATTGTATTTTATTTTTTTCCCTGTCTTTCTCACCAATTCTTGCCGTGTTTCTCTACCGCAACTTTTTACCCACCCTTTCTTTTCCGTTTGTTTTCGTCCTCTTTCTTGACCACCACTTTGCCACTTTAAAGTTAGGGCCCTCATTTATAAGGTGAAGTGTTGTAGACCGTTCCTCACACTATTTGATGGGCTTTAGAGGTGCCCACCATAGCCTTTCCTTTGTCCATGCTGGGAGTAGGTGGAGGACCTCGAACAAGTGTAAGGAGACACTCATGGGTGGAGTCAGTCTTGTATGGCCGTTGGAGATCTACGTCGACAAAAAAATTGAATCCCTGCTCCAAAAGGCTTTGGCACAAATGGATCTGAGGCACAAATCATCAATTTTAAAATGAAGAAATCTACAAGATCAAAGGTATTTTTTTGCTTGCGAGATGAACAAGCGAATTCCTCATAACACCTTCAATTGCCTTGTGTTCATCTCTCTTCGGGCACAGAATCATGGACATGATCGAATCGAATGTGAGATTAAACAATTCAATGTGTGTAACGTGAGACAATTCTGCAAGTGCATCACCAACTTTGGCCAGGTCCACGAGTAGGTTTAGTTCCTCAGCAGTCACTTCGTTTAGCATCCGCAACCACATTTCATATCTACTTATGTCGGGGCTAGGAAAAATGATGCATCTCATAAAGTTGTATACAGAGGTTTTGATTCTCCTCGTCTCTCTCAGCCACTCAATCTCCCATGCAATGGAGTCTTTGGGGTCGCTAGCGATAAATAATGTGTTTGTAGAACTAAATTATTTGCTCCAGTCATGATGGAAGTTGATTTAGCTGGACAGGCCAAGGAATTCAATAGTGTTGACGACGGACTGTGTGTGTGCGCGCGCATACTAGTTATGCAGAGATTGGGTGTGCGCTCATTGCGTTTATATCCCCTCAATGCTTCATTTTGAGTCAATAAAATCCATTCTTCGTAAAAACAAATACTATTACTTAATTAGTTGAGGTGATCAAATTGTTAATTAAAATTATTGTAATTTCTAGAACTTGGAATTAAGTTCTTGTTTTTATCAAAAAGAAATTAAGTTCGTGTATGTGTTAGTCAAAAAAGAAGTAGCCCCTCTGTCCCAGATCTTATATTATGAGACGGAGGGTGTAGTTTCTTGTATCTTGAATATGCACGTTGGTCTATTCCAATTGCTTGTTGATCTAAGCTTCAGTAACAAAAGTTATTGAACTATCGCTTGTGAACAATGTGTCGATTTTTTATGTGGAGCTCGATAGAACTTGTAAATTTCCAAGAGTCAACTTTAAAGTTTCAAAAAATCTGAAAAAATACACACTATATACTGTTGTATACTTCATCTCTGAAAATTTTCATGATAACATACATTTTGATGTGGTCTACACACATTTTTTTTGTAGCACATGGTAGGATGTTTTTTATCATGAAATTTTACAGATATGTAGTATACATCCCTATATGTGTATGTAATTTTTTTCAAAATGGGAAAATTGCCTAGCTACACATATAACAATACTAATGAGTTTCCGATCCGCCGAAAGGTTCTTCATGCAACCTGAAGAGAAGTTTCTAACACCATGTCTTTTGCTTTAATTGACTGAAATCAGATAAAGAGGGGTCAAGTATTTCTGTCCAAAGGAAAATTTTATGGTGCTGTGCAAATTCCAAGAGCTTACCTCATTCTCCCAGTTTATAGAATGTACGATCCACACGAGCAACACAAGCTTAGTGAGGCTGCCACAAACGATGCCAAGCCAAAGCCCCTATTGGAACCACAATAATTTTGTTATTTCAGGCATGCTCTATTCATGTGGCCAGTGAAATGTTAAATTCATGCTGACCTATAGTACATACCATTCCGTTAAAATGCATGACGAATGCAAGCAACACAGCCAAGGGGATGCCTGCCAAGTAGAATGCGGCGAGATTGACCCGTGCACCAATCTTCTGCTCACCGCATCCATATAGCACACCTGTGATGTCCAGAAGAAATAATCATGTCAGCATGCGCTCTTATATTATGGGACGGAGGGAGTACGTGGCAATGTGGGAATTTCACTTATGTTACCTGAAAGAGATGTGTGGATTCCATCAATGAAGAAAGATACCCCGAGGACAGGTATCATCCTCGCAATGTATGTCACGACTTCCTCCTCGTTGCTGTACATGTAACCCCAAGATTTGCGTAGCAAAATCATTGTGATGGAGATCACTGAGCCTGCAAACATGGCCATGCATATGACCACTATGGTTGCCAGCCTCGCTACCTGAGGCCTACCAGCACCAAGTTCGTTGGAAACGCGTGTGCTGTATTGTATATGCAGGAAAAGAAGAGACACCAGTTAGCATATACGTGAATTGTGTATTGGTGAGTTTAAGGGCACCTTATGGCTGCGCAGAGACCGGATGGCACCGTGAACATAAGAGCGCCCGTATTAAGACTGCAGAATCCAGTAGTGCACAACTTAGAAAAGAAATTCCCGCAAAAAAAAACTTAAAAAAGAAAAATTGGTGAATTGTGTATTGCAAAAAGTGGTCTTGATTTGATTACCATATCGACAATACCGAGGTTTCAAGCTTAGGATTAGGCAGAAGACCAGACAGCAGCACAAGCAGTTCAAATGACCACCATTCCAAACTGCATATGTCAAAAACAAATAATTTTTCATTTCTCAAAAAAAAAAAGCATACGTGGAGAATCTTTTTCTTTTGGAAAAGGGGGAAGATCCGCTGCCTCTGCATCTGGGCGCTGCATATAGCCAATACGTGGAGAAGCTAGATCAGGAAGACTCGTCTCACCAAACCATCATGGCGGAAGGCACGGCGAGCTCGGCAAACAGGCGCAGCTCCTTGAAGGCTTCCATGGAGAACCCAGTCCACGTCTTCTTGCAGGCGCCGGAGAGCCTTGTGTACAGGCACAGTATGGCCAGGTTTGTGGAGTAGGAGACGGTGCTGGCCAGCGCGGCGCCTTTGCTCCCCATGCCCACCTTGTGCACTAGCGCCCAGCACACGAGGATGTGGTTCAGCGCCGTGACGGCGGAGCTGACCATGACCGGCACGACGATGCTCTGCGTCTGCAAGAAGCGGATTTGACACACAAGAGGGACGTACGGGACAAGGGCCGGGAGGAGCCACCGAGCGTAGGCGCTGGCTTCGGCAGCGATGGCCGCATCCTGGCCGAGGAGCAGGAGGATCTGGGCGGTGTTGGCCCAGACGAGGGCGATCGGGACGCAGGCGAGCGCTAGCACCACCATCGCCCGTTGCTTGTAGAGGCCGAGGAGGTGGTACTGCCGCGCGCCGAACGCCTGCCCGCAGAGCGTGTCCAGGGCGCTCGACATGCCCACCAGCAAGCTGAAGCCGGTGACGTTGGCCAGGGATGTGGCGAGCGAGGCTCCGGCGAGGGGAAGCTCGCCGAGGTGGCCCACGAACATCACGGATACCAGCTGCAGGGCGGACCGGAGGATGCCGCCTGCCGCCAGCGGCCCAGCCAGCCGTAGCAGTCGCTTCGCCTCCTCCAACGCCGCCGCATGCTCATTCCGCTCCACGGGTCCGAGCAGAGGCTGCTCGTCCACGCTTGGCTTCTGCATTCTTGTGAGCTCTAGTTTACTAGCTTCAGCAGATGAGAAGTGGGCTCTGAGTAGACATTGTTACATTTGTGGAGATCATTTTCTACAGTCGTTTCCAAGCATTAGATGTTGGAGCGAGTAAACCCAAACAACAACAGACAATGTGAAATGTAACTTCCCCTGCAAAAAAGGACAATGCGGAATGCAACTTGGTAGCCACTTTGGCTTATTAACTAATCAAAGTAAGTCATAGATTCACAGAGTATGGTGAGTGTTGTTCTTACTAGGATGCTTCCAAGAGCAAGCTCATGGTGTTTTGATTCTTTTTCCATGTATTCCAGGGGAGATCCTCCAAACAAAGTCTGCTACACATGTGCTACATGCTAGTACCATTTTCTTGCTGGGAGAGTTGTATTTCATATTGTCAAGTGGTGAGCCGTCAAAAGAAATATTGTCGGTTGCTTTTTGGGTTATTCTTGCTCTAACCAGATCGAGGGTATCACGTGTGTCGCACCAGGCAATTCGCATTGCTAGCCTCACTATCAACCACGAGTGCATGACCAATCAAATCTCACACATACCAGGAAGCCAAGGAGCTAATTTTCTTCGCTTTTAGGCGCAGTGCCGAGCCGGCAAAAAGATCCGAGGCCCTATGCCAACTATAAAATATATATCTTTTGCTTCACCACGCTCCATAATTTAATGGCAAGTTCAAGGGCCAACGCATTTCGTCCACTCACGAGTTTTCATTCACGCAAACAAACAGCACGGCCCAACGAGCCATATCACGGACGTGGTGACTATATGAGATTATACCATGAATGATCATAATCATAAATAGAAATATTACAATTTAATCGCTACCCAAGTATAATTTGTTTACCACACTAAACTTTTATGCTTGAAGATATGCCACTAGTGAACCTATGGCCCCGACTGTCTACTTTGCTTTACTGAAAACCTCATGAAAAAAATTTGCCTTGTTGTACCATTTCTTTCATTTTATCCATCTGTCAATTTCTATCATAACGTATTTAATCTTGTACATTGTAAGACAAGGAGATTGACAACCTTCTTGACTTGTTGGGGACAAACTTGTTTTGTGTTTTATATGCAGGCACCAATAACTTTGTTTGCTGGAAGACCTCTTTTCTGCTTCGATAAACCTAGGTTCTCTACTGAGAGAAATACTTGTGCTAGGTTACTTCAACCTTATAATTTGTAGTTACCCAACCAATCTTACGAGAGAGCAACCAGCGAGCACAAATGCTGCACACACCGAAACAAATGGCTGGCGACATCAAGTTTTCCGTAGGGGGCTGCCATCTCACGCACTAGCAATGAGCCCATCCTCACCGTAGGCATTTCTCGGTTGTCTAACTATTTTTCCATCTTGTTTACATAAGGATATGACAGAAGCTCATTTAGTAGTGTGTGGATGGATGTAAAAAGTATCCAAATCTTTTTTGAAGAACATGTGATCGCGGGCTTTTTGTATTAAGATGGGAAAACCTAGAGTGAGAAACGTATTTACATGGTTGGGATCCAATAACAAGCAATTGCTCAAGCTCACCAAGATAGGGTAAAAGAGATTCCTGGGCTCCAATTGTGTCTGCACAAGCAAGCTTCCACTTCGGCAACTCCGCCCGAATTTTGTGAACAACCGACGAGGGCAAGGTCCTTGCCTTATCGAATACACAGTTGTTTCGTTGCAACAAAATGAACCACGAAGGAGTTTACCAACAGGCGGCTATGCGTCAGAACCAATGTTTTAAATAGCGGGCTATGGCATATAGCGGCAACCCTTAAAAACAGCTATAGCGGGCTATAGTTAGGCTATAGCGGTAAATTGTACATGAAATCATTTAGCGGCAAACAATCAGTGTGCCAACTAGCCTTGTGACCAATCAGCTCGTAGGCAAGGAATTTTGGACTTGAGCACAGTGGAATGAATAAATGGTTCCATCTGATATCAAAGGAGACGAAGCTTTGAAGAATAGGAGAGATGCAAGCATGGTCATGGAGTACATCGCTAGTTTCTTGCATTGCATATGCATCACGGATATTCGAACACAGGAATGATGAGCCATATTCGCTGGGTTCCTTTTTCGTCCAACCATTGTGATGATGGCCCTATCGTTCTCCTTGATATTTCTGTTCAAGTGTATCCATCACAATTTTCAGGTGCAGAACTGGGAAGGACATAAAAGCCAGTGCTACGAAGACTCCGTCTGCTGAAACTGAACTTTTGTTCTTGTGACTGATTTCCAAAAAATGCGCAGTCCAAAATTACATGAAAATCATGTGAACGACGAAAAGATTTCAAGACGTGAACAATCCGGATTTTGGAAAAGTAATATATATTGACTTCTGCAAACTCTTGACGCAACCTAGTAAGCCCAAATGAATCCAGTTTATCGTATACTTTTGTTCATACTTTATATTTGGTCTTAGTATCCATCCAAGTACAACAAGCTCACTTGGTTGAAAAGTAGGGGTGCAAACTCCAACAAACTTCTACAATTTTATAAAAATAAAAATAGCAAGCCAATCACTCGTCTTAAATACTACACACCATCCACCTTGTCGATGAGTTGGCACCGTATATAATTTCTCTAATGTACCCATCAAGTTTCCATGCATATATATGCCTCCCGTCAATACCCATCTAGTGTGTTAAGCATATAATATCCTTTTCCTGCGGGAATGCATATTTTCTCTCAAGTGAGCTTTGTGGATAGTACCGAATATATAGTCCATATTTTGCTTTTGTTAAAGTTGAGGCAATAAGAAACATATGCTGGGAACACACTCAGACTATGACCAATATGTTGATTTGAGAGGCATTAGGAAAAGATTAGCTTGTACCTACTTAACGTCATGTGGTGCATCTACTCTGCATCATTGCTTTCAATGCCCGGAATTAGTGACATCGACAAGTACTTTTACAACACATCAAGTCCTTACAGAAGATCTTGTCCATGATCAACGTCCAGAGAGAGGTTTTTGTGCATGCCATCCCACGTGAAAGTAACCAAGCTAGCTATGAAGTAGCTAAGATAGGAGGAACTGAGACTGAAACGATCTGGTTACGATCAGGTCCTAAAAGGGCTGCAATGTTTTGTGCAATGGATCGGGTTGGTCCAGTTTAATTAATTCAACTAGTTGTGAACCCGTGCAGTTGTAGGGCTAGTCATCTATTTCTTTAAAATTATTCTTGTTAAAGTGTCAGGATAGAACTCAAGGGATTAACCATTTTCATTCAAATAAGGATTCAGAATAGAATTATAGTGAGTGAAAACAAATTGATAATGTGTTCTCAGTGACAATTTTAATACCCTCAAATTTTAGAACCGCAAAGCAATTTAATGGCATTACACAGTTACTATTCATCTACCATTCTTAAATGCTTTTATGTTTCAACCTCTTTTTGAAAAAACACACAGTATGATTGATCTAATATGAACTTTGAGATTAATCAAGTAACATGTCATTGCCATTTCACCCTGTCAACTTAAGAAACTGAAGAGCGTAAAAAATAAAGTAGTGTTCCAAATAAAAAAGGATAGCAAGTTCTCCAAGCAAGCACTGCGAGTATTTGTAGTATACACAATTCTTTGCATGTTTATCATTTTCTTAGCTGCTTAATGCAGAGTGAAAATTAAGTAAATAATTAAGAAAATCTGCAAAACATAGCCTAAACGTCATGAATTAGGGTGCTTCCGAATCTAGAGCATTGAGCCGGTGCAGTTATCTTTCCGAATGTATTGATGGCACAGAGAATTGTACAATAATATAGATGAATGCGGCTAAACCTATGAAGAAAATAACCCAATCATAATTTGGGGAAGAGTAAGAGACAACTATCCTTAGCCTACCACGGATTATGCAGATTAGCAGTAATTCTTTCCACCACTCAGCAATAACCAATGACGACGATTCTGGTCTAATCCTCGGAACAAACAAAAACTTGTTGTCACCGGAGTTATAAGAGCTAGAATGTGATGCCTTCCAAATAAGTTTTTTTTTTGCGAGCAGCCTTCCAAATATGTTGATGGTAAGCATGGAGAGAGTAACCTCTACAATCATCATGCTGTTGTTTCCAACTATGAAGGGATAAATCAGGGGAGGGCAAAACAGCTTATTGTACGTAGTAGCATATCCACGCAGGCCGGCCTTGCCGAGGTGCAAAAGAAAGACTGATGCGAGATGGTGTGGGATAGAGAGGGCTGTAGAGAAGAAACCTGTGGAGAACACAATCTTGGCAGAGCGGCGACAGCTGTGAAGCAAAGAAGGATTGCGAGAGAAAACGTCCAATCTTCTGTTGTATGTGCTTCCTGTCGGCGACTCGATCCGGCGTCCGCACAGATTGATCCAGCAGATTGCTTCTCTCTTATGTACGTGTATGTTTAATTAGTCTGTATACGGCTTGTTTCTCTCTTATGTACGTGTACGTTCAATTAACTTGTAAATCAATCAACCTACTTCATATTAGTTGGAAATACGTGCATGTGTGTTTTCTTAGCCAAGACTATGGGCGATGACTCAATGTTTCTTTAGAGTCTTGGCCTAGCTTTTAAAAAGAAGCGTGAGAGATTGAGCCGGAAGGGGAAAAAATTGGAGCTTTGCTCTCGCTTTAAAAGGGAGGCGTGAGAGATTGATCAGGAAGGAAAAATGAAAAACGTGAGAGATTGGTAGAACCATTAGAGAGAGAGAGTGAGAGAGATAGACCTGAAAAATTAAAAAAAGGAGACCAGGACCCACTTGATGGATCGTTTGTTGATACAATTTATATTAGTTTTATTTTAGGGTGTGGGGTCTTCTTATTTTCATAAGAACAGACATACACATGCTAAAACAAAAGAACAGATCTACACCTTTATAATTCGGTCCCACCAGATAAATGGCTCTTAATTCTAATTAACATGAGAATTTATAGGAAGTGCCTAATTAGTATAGGTATAGATAGATAGATAGATAGATAGAGTGCAAGATAAAATTTACAGCAATTTTGCAGAATT